CAATTGGAATTACGAAAATTCCAGCATACGTTATTTCGGTGAATGTAGGTATTTTCGGATTTCTTCTTTCTTGTTGCTTTTATCCCAAAGTAAGTGGCTAAAGCACTTGTGTTATGAAAAACGAAAACAACAACGGTACCACAAACACCCAGACCCGAGACAATATAAAAAAGTTAGTTTCTACACTGTCCCGGCCGGGGATCGAACCCGGGACCTCAGAGATGGCGATACCATGAAACCGGTGTGCAAGCTACTCGACTACGGAGGCCGTCAAGTACAAGTACAACAATATTTTATTGGATATTACTAACATTTAATTAAGAAATCTTTTGCGCACGCAATGTGTAGGATACGGATAGCTTTTTGATTAGCTTGTTATTTATTTAAAATGCAAGTCCCAACAATACACGTTCCATTAGGTAAGTACTTATTGCTATGACACCCTGTAGGGTATGGCACTAAGTCGCTACTTTTTGTTCACACATTACAAAGTATAATAATCGTGTACGTGTACTCAACAACCGTCTCCTGTCATACCTTGAAGACAATGACCTCCTCAGTGATCGCCAGTATGGGTTCCGACCGATGGGTTTAAAATTAGCATGAGTAACCTGAATGTTACTCAATGGAAGGTTTCCAATATACTAATTTTGAAATATAAGCGACCGCCTGTCCACAGCATTCTACCGACGAGGGCAATCTACCGGGGATCTTCTTGTGTATGCCTGTCACATATAGAGCGAGGGTATAGAAAAGCAAGGCGAAGCACTTGCAGTGCCTTTGGACATTTCTAAAGCCTTTGACAGGGTCTGACACGCAAACATTTTAAGCAAGCTTCCATGTTATGGACTTCCCACTGATCTTTGCAATTGGATCTCGAATTTCTTAAGTGAACGTTCCATTCGAGTGGTCTTAGAAGGCTACTCCTTCCGAACATATGGCGATAGATTCCGGATAGAAGGCCGGAGTTCCTCAGGGTTCCGTACTGTCTGCAACTCTCTTTCTGCTACATATCAATGATATGTTAATTCCAGGTACCTTTGCGTATGCTGATGACAGCCCAGTTGTAGTACCTATGTACTTGACCAATGCAAAGGTCAGAGGAGAGGAAATCCAGTTTTGGCAAGAGTCCATGGTTAGCCGTTTAGTTTGACGCTCAAGGCAGTCTCCGATTGGGGCGATGCGACCAATCTTGTCAAATTTAATGCTACCAATACGCAGGCGTGTCTATTCTCCACTAAACGGAGTCCCTTTGAGCTGACTCCGACTTTTCGTGATATATCCATACCAATAGCCGACCGTCTCCAGCTACCTGGAATGGATATGTCGTCCAATCGTCAAAAAAAAAAATCTTGGCATCCTTTCCAGGGTGAGGCGTTACTTCACACCGGGACAGTTGCTTCAGCTGTATCAAGCACAAGTCCGGTCGTGTATGGAGTACTGTTGCCACCTTTGGGATGACTCTGCTACATATCAACTGGCCACCTTGGATTCAATTGACAAGCGTGTCAAGAGCCTTATAGGTGGCTCGGAATTGGTAGAGGCGAAGCTGCAGAGCCTTGAACACCGCCGTAAAGTTGCCGCCTTATCGGTATTTTACAGGATATATCACGGAGAGTGTGCGATGGAATTACACGATTTAATTCCGCCTTCCCCTTTCCATCACCGGGAGACTAGGCGTAGGCTTGGGTTCCACCCCTATGTTGTGTATATTCCAAAGATTCGCACGAAGCGTTACGCTTCCACATTTATATGGCGAACGGGTATGGAGTGGAATTCTCTGCCTGCAGACTTGTTCTCTGAACGTTATAACTTGGATCTTTTCCAGGCGAGAGTGTTTAGGCATTATCTACATAGGTGTGCATGCTCCATCGTCGACCTTATCGTCATTTTCCATCAGGTGAGATGGAGGTCAAATGCACACTTATATTAGAATAATAAAAAAAATAAAAATAAAATTGAGATTAAAATAACATGTCAGTTATCCATCATCAGTCTTCGTCAAATATATAAAATAACATAACAATATAATTTATTCAAACAACTATGTAAGTTTGTCAATATAAAATTATTTTAAGTCAATAGCACTTGTCAAATTAATAATGCTTTTAATTTTTTAATGAAATTTCTATAATTTGTCTCACTTCTTATGTACTCTGGTAGTTTGTGAATTTTTATTGCATTATAATACGGGCTTTTTGTATAGATGCTTAGTGTACTTTGCCGGGGGTTTAATATATTTATATTTACGATTAATTAAAATATAAATGAAATACTATGTACTATTGTACACAACATCACTTTTAAATGACAACTACGGTAACATAATGAAATTATGGTACACCTGTATTTTAATTTTTTTTTTACTTCTTTTACTTTTTACTTTTTACGCACGCACTCATAGCCCCGCACTATGGAAACTTTACTTGAGACTTTTATGTAACATAGTATCTTAAAGGAACTCCATGAAATTTTAACATTTCTAGGACAATGAATTATAAAGCGTTGTTTCATGTGTTTCAATGAATTTAAAATGGAATTAGCATGAGTAAGATGAACGTTACTCAATGGAAGGTTTCCAATACACTAATTTTGAAATATAAGCGACCGCCTATCCACAGCACTTGCACTGCAACTTAGGGTTTTAAATTGCACAGATTTGAAGGGCTCTGTAATAGCCTATAATTACCAGCACCCTTACCCTTTAGAACCGGTACGCTGTAATGCTCACGTTACTGTTTGGCGGCAAAAATAGGTAAGGCGGCACTACTTCACTGGACGAACTCTTTCACAGGAATCTCTACTGTTACAATTACAAAAACACTATGAGGAATTAACGTATATAAGTCGTACCTACCTAAACAGACTACATCCTTTCTCTCCTAAATAAGCAATACTCGACCTAATCAGAAGACAATGCCATGTGGGCTGCCACCGCCGGCCGGCCACAAAATTTCAACTGCAGCAGGCCACTATCTTCGAATTATAACCAACAAGCTATGTGTCACAAGTCAAGTGCAACAGGCCACCATGTATTTCCGAATTTTACCTAGCATGCTATGTGGGTCGCCGGTGTATCACAATTAGGAATCAAAACTTATTTTCGATTTTTCTAGTCCTGATCAGTCAAAGGTTGCATCAGCAGGCTGTAAATATAAGTTGTGAGTTCGACGAACGCAGCCAATTGTTTGACTCTTCTGCTAACAACTGATCCAGATCGTAATCAAGTATGGATTTCGTTACTCGTGGTGACATCCATCTGTTTTTGATGTAATCACTCCGTAACGCGCGACCTGCTGGTAAAGCTTGAATGTGTTCTGCCGGCAGTCCACATGTCCTGCTACAAAAGTTACTCGAGATCAGGCATGGCGTGAAAAAAAACGCGTGTCCTGCCGGCAGTCCACATGGCCTGCTACAAAAGTTATTAAAGTTCTGCATCCTGATTTTAATTCAATATGGAATCGATCCGATCGGGTAGCCTATCCGAGTCTGGAAATCAGATGGGTCTCTGAGCGAGAAGATGAACCTGATTCCTACTATATCTTTCTAATTTGTGAGTTAAATCAACTATTGTTCCGATTTGAAATGTCAAAAGTTTCCGATCGGCCAGTTGTGATTCGCAATTATGCGCCTCGACACTGAAAAGGCGCAATTTCCGATCAGGAGAGGCAATCAAAATCAAGCTACAGGCGTGGCGTTCTGTGAAAAATAATGGCCTGCTGCTTCAGAAAAATCGTTTATTCTATGGCGCAGAGAGTGTTAATTTGGTCGAGTATTACTTATTCCACAGTAATTGCTTCGTACGAATATCGGACGGCAATCCCGTTCTCTACACCCCCAGAGACGGCTTCGACAAGCAATAATTCACAGGATTTGAATTTTTCAAACTTTTTTTGTACAGCAATAAGAGAGTATAAATTTCAACAATTTTAATTGCAAAGAGAATTGAAATATACAAAGCATCACGTTGAAGTGCATAACTTCAAATTAGTTTCCTCTGTCTATTGTTAACGCAAACTCAACTTGAACTGAGGGGTAATGATGAGATTTCTGGAATTCCTCATCGCTGTACTATGAAAGGAAAAAGTAAACAACAAAGCAATTCCTTTACAGGTATTCCCAAACATTTTTTTTTTCCAGTCAATTGGAATAACTGGCGGATTAGCTATACCATGTTACAGGGTGTTGTTTTACATTCTCTATAAATTCTTCAAGTATATTTTCATCCATCGTGGTTAATTTGAAAAATTAATATGTACACCTTATTAACCCTGACTGCAACCGAGCGTGACTGCAGCGCTTCTACAAATTGTATGAAAAGTAATTGTCGCATATTATGGCTAATTTGAACGCGCCCTTAGCTTTTGTAAAGAGATCCTTATCTATTTCGGCCGCCAAGCAGTAACGTGAGCATAACTGCGTTCCGGTTTTGAAGAGTAAGAGTGCTGGTGCAATCACAGACACATGAGACTTGTCAACTTGTCTTGGGGTGACGGGCGAAGTGGCAGTGTCCCTCAGATTTTCGCGATTTTAAGCTCTGAGTGCCAGTGCAATTGCTATGGAAAGGCGTGTCGCTCAATCATCATGCTTACTTACTTACTTGCTCGTCCCGTCATTAGGTATCATACAAAAATTGACTCTGCTGGGTCAGCGTCCCGAAGTTGGTCTTGGCTTCCGATCTCCTCCCAGTTTTCTGCGTGCAGGGTGTGGAGGTCTTTCCCCACTTCGTCCTTTCATCGGTATTTGGACAGAGCAACCAGTCGTCGACCACTAGGACGTCTCATGTAGGCCCGTTTCACGTGGGCTGGCATCCTTTTGAGGTGTTTGAGCCAACGGAGTCTTGCAGATTTGATTTCACTGATAATATTGGGCTCAGACACGATGGCCTCCAGCACCTGGTTCTTTCGGATCCTCCAGCCCTCTGCGTGGGTCCCAAAATGTACGTTTTTGGAATATTGATATTCATAATGTACTCGTATTACTCACCCTCTTGTCTCCAGCGACCAGAAGTTGGGGAACATCGATCCTCGGCTTCAGATCGACGTTGACCCATTTGCTCACAAGGATCTCCGTGCCGAGATGATGTTTATCCGCGAGGAGTTGCGTTCTGCCAAGTGGCAGACTCTGGCTGTAAGTGTTTATTGTTATGTAGTTTTTTACTTCTTGTTTTACTTCAAAAAAGGAAAAAGGTTGTTAATTCGACTGTATTTTTTCAATTTTGTTGTGCGTACGTTACACGGTTACTCTGACGCTTGTGAACCGATTTCGATAATTCTTAAGAAGGAAAGAGAGTAACTCAATACTAGTCCCATTCAAATTTGAAGAAAGTCCCCTAATTTCATCACCTAATTTGCCACCTTTAGAGGGGATGAAACGGTTTTTTTATTAACTGACTTCCAGTGGCGGATTTGCAGTCTTGGTTGCCCTAGGCCCCAGGCCATGTAGTCAGTACCAGCCGCCCCTTTCTCAGCTCTCATCATATACTAGTAGACGTTTACCGAAATCGATTCAGAAATCGAGTTCTTAGGTTTTCGCGATTGTTACACATAGGAAATGAAACTATGTTTCCGGATTTAAATCGCGTATATTTGTTTTTTCAAACAAACCGACAGGTCCCATGGTCACGGTTGACTGAGGTGGTGGTGGTGGGTCTTCAACCAGTTATCTCTAATATTAATGCAAACCACCCTATTTTTTCACTATAGTAACAATAGTTATTAATTAAATACCTTATTTTTAATTTTACAAAGAAAACATTCCAATTTACGCTACATTAAGTTTTACAAATCATTTTATTGAATGAATTTTTATTAAGTTCAATTAATTATTAATAGAAATTAGAATAAACTAAGACATATTAATTAGTACTGCAGTCTTATGTCTGTTTGGGACTTTTCATCAGAGGAAAAAATAGATCCCAAACTGGTGCTGTGGCAACACCCCCTCTCTGTGGTACACGCACCAAAGAATTGGCCCCTAGTGCCCGGCGGTCCTGCTCTTCCTAGTCACAATAGAAGCTTTGGAAACTGGGCTTGGGGTGCGAAAAATCCCCTGGCCCCCCACAAGGCGGACCGACGATCTGGTAAAGGTCGCGGGAAGCCGATGGATGCGGGCAGCGCAGGACCGATCGTCGTGGAGATCGTTGGGGGAGGCCTATGCCCAGCAGTGGGCTTGGCAGAATGATGATAATGATGAGTTTTACTTTACGGGTTTATCTCTGTTAGTTCGATCTTTGTATTAATAAAAGTTATTTAATAATTTTTAATTAAATATCATATATATAGTCACATTAATATCTCAATATGATTAATTAACAAAATTCGTTGAATGAGTAGAATGATTTCTCAATTAAATAGTCAAATTAGTAAGTATTATATTTCTATTTAATGGTTTAACATTTAACAGAAAACATTAAGGACGTAAATATGTTAAAGCGTTTGTGTAAACCATGATATTAAATATCATTTTTGAAGAACCTTATTCCTGTTCCATTTTCGGGATTTGTTTTAAAAGTATCTCAAAGGATCTTTATCTTGTTGAGTGGAAACATATCTGCTTCACAGCTTTTTATCGCATCGGAGGGTAGTGTTCCATTGTATATATACAGTGTGTTTGTGAATTGTCCATAAAAATGAATAAAATTGATTAATTTTTGCTTTAGTGTTTATCAACTCAATTTCATGTCGGGATCATTTCATTGTATTAGAAGAATATTCGGCACAGCAGAAGTTGGTCAAATTGAAACAAAGAAAGAAATAAAATTGTTTATTGTACAAACACGGATACGCATATAAACAAAAAAAGAACAGGGCAAAAATAAAAAATTAAAAAGAATATTAAAACAATGTACACAAATAAGCAGTAATTTGCCGTCATGCGTGTCGCGGCTGGTACAGGGTCAAGGGGACGTCAAGATTGACACTTAAGACTTAAATCCAACTCTATGCCGCTAACGATAAGAACGGTCCAAAGTACAAAGTGTCAAGCTTGATGTGCTCTTGACTGTACAAACGGGACTTGCTCAGTCAGACAACTGGTTCTTTTTTAAACCGTGTCGTGGCGCTGATTTTCAGCAAGCCTGGGGCTTGAAATTGAATAAAATGTTATACATTCTGTATGAAAAAAACTTTTTATTAAAGACCAAATTCTGAGGTCACGATTCAAAAATCGTACGTTGAATTCGTATTTTTTAAAGTTCAATCAACTTTTTTTAACCGAAGATACCGGTGTAACCTAGCCTTGGCGAAATGAGAATAGAGATGCGAAGAGGAGGAGGTTCGGTCCACAAGATTTATTGTAAGAAATATTAAAAGAGGAAAAGAAAAACTGTAACAAATAAAATGATGCAAAGAAAAGACGCAATTCTTATAAAACACATCACATAAAACTAACACAATACACAATACTCAGCCCAAAAGGGCCGTATATACATTATAATTTATTACTAATCGACGTCAAGAAAATGAAGGTGAACTGTGATTTATGGGCACGTCTTCTCATTTCAAGAATTTTGATAGGAGTGACGACGCATCGAACAAACGTAAAGGTGCTTTTCTACCGGCGAGGCGAGACGAGACGAGACGAGACGAGGATTGACATTTGTATGGCAAAATTTCAATTCTCATTATGGTGGCACTCCACATGGCAATTTGTATTTGCGCATTTGATATATTTGGCATACAATGTAGATAGCATGTGTGACCAAGAATTTGCCTTGTTTGTCTATTCGATAAACACAGCAAACACCAAACTCACGTTACCGCGCGCTGGTTGATTTCTCGACGCACATCAAAGAAGCCAAATAAGCAAATACGCAAGTCATCGAGTATATAACCTATCATAGGAATAAAATGAAAGTGTTAATTTTAGAATGTAATATATAATGTTATTAGTTAAATGTAATACTAATTTTATAATTTGTGTAAATGTTAGTCAAACTAAAATTTGTTCGCAACAATGGAGCTCTCTCGACGTGATTTTTGTATTATGATTTATTATGACTACAAAAAAGGTTTAAATCAGCAAGAATATTTTGAACTTTTAGCCACAACTTTTGTTGATACTGCTTGTTTGCGAGCTACAGTTTTCAATTGGTTTGCTGAATTTGAAAGAGGACGGGGAAGCTTTGAAGATGAGGCGAAGTCAGGTCGGCCGCTAATCGCGGTTACTCAAGAAAACGTTCAAACTGTCGAAAAAGTAATTCGTGAAAACCGACGAACTACATATCTAGAGCTTGAGCGAGAACTGAGCCTTGGATCAGCAGCATTGAAAACTATTATTCACGAGCAACCTCCATAAGCGTTGTTCGAGATGGGTTCCGCACAAACTTGACGATAAGCAGAAAGAACGTCGCGTGGATTGGTGTAAATTTATGATAGATAAATTCGACGCTGGCGAGAAAAAAAACGTTTATGATATACTGACAGGTGACGAAACATGGTTATGTAACTATGATCCTGAAACAAAGCGACAGTCCGCTGTATGGCGCTTTGAAAATGAGCCGACGCCAACGAAATATCGACGTACACGAAGCACACAGAAAGAAATGGTCGCCTCATTTTTCTGCATGACGGGACACATTGCTACTGTAGTGCTACAGGATCAAAGGACAGTTAACTCCGAATGGTGTATAACAATTTGTGCCTCAAAAGTCTTGTCAGCTTGGTGTGACAAGCGGCCGAAGTCAGGAATCCTCCTCTGGCATCAGGACAACGCCGCTCCGCACACTTCTGCTAGAACACTCAACTATTTTCATTCAAAAAATGTATCTATACTGCCTCACCCGCCATATTCCCCTGACCTAGCATCTTGTGATTTTTACCTCTTTCCAAAAATTAAAGAAAAATTAAAAGGCAAGCGGTTTGAAAGCAAAGAAGATGCCTTGGCTGATTATAACTTGGAAATTTTTGAAATGTCTAAAGAAGAGTGGATCATCGATATTTCCCAAGTGGTTTAAAAGAATGGAAAAGTGTATATTAGAAAAGTTCATGGTGAATATTTTGAAAAAATCGATACCTGTAATAAAGAAAAAAATTTACAATTTTTGATAATCTAATTTCTTTTGGCATGACCCTCGTATCACTTTTAAATATCATCTCTCACAATCACAAATTAGAAAGCTGAATTAGTACAAAGCTAATAACTGACCTGTGTGTACGTCGCCGTATATTCCAAAAATATTCTGTATTTATTGTAATAAAGATAATTTCTCTAAAAATGGAGGGCTGTTCCATTCGGTGGTGTGGGAAAAACAGCAAAACATCTAATTACAAAACAAACGGAATCACATTTCATCGGTAATGAAATATTCAATATGTAATTTTTCAATTTTCGTCTTATCATAGCAAAGCTCAAGTTAAACTGGTCGATTTGAAGTGTAACAATTGACGACACCCGTCAATTGTTTCGAATTCGGGCTGGCCAATCAGCGCTAAACAGAGATGCTTGGCGATTACTCCACTGACAAGAGCCTAGCTCATAGATAAGAAGAAGAATCGAAGGGCAGTTGTCACAGTAATGATTTGGCAGAGTAGTTTTCAAATTAAATGACATTTTGTCTCTATTTCTGGTTATATACTCGATGAGTTTAATCAGTATAACGATTTCAAGTGTGATTTGGTTTACCCGTGAGAGATAATAGTCATTTGTTATGTAATACTGCAAAGATGTTGTTTAACGCAACTGCTTGTATAAGCAAATGTGTCTAAGATTATAAAATCCTGAGCGTATCGAGGGTTTCAAGGCACGAGACGTAAAACAACTTTGCTGCTGAGGAAAACTCGCAACTTTTCACCTAAATATAATTGTTATAAACATTTCAATTTCATTCATTCAATTATAAACACTGTTGGGGGTTTTCTTATTGTTGCAGGTTAAGTTAAACGTACTGATTTTATTCGACTGTCCGCCAATGCTCTTTTACTCAGACTTATAATATTTTAATTTAGGTGATATTTTCTCCGTCTATGGTCTGTCATTTTTACGACGAAGTATATATAGTGTTACCACAAATAAATTAGAACTTATAAAATAAAGCTTCCCATAACTACCTCGCTATAATCTCAGTGTAGACTCAACAATAATAAGAATAAAATGTGCCAACAATTTACGAGATAAATAATGTACGACAA